ATATTTGCTTTATATAAACCTGCAGTTTGCCTCATAGACACACATGGCTTCTCAAAGCCAGCAATGAGGCTAGTCTTTAGGCATGTCTGCACCCCCTCCCCAGGGCCTGGCACCCTGTAGGGCCCACTTGAGGCTCAATGAACCCCAGCTGGCTTCTCAATCTGCCCACGTTGGCATTGACCCCACCCTGATCCACCCAAACCCTTGCGCCAGGCCAAATAGCAACCCCCAAGCTCTCCCACCCAGCAGAGTCCCTGGTCTCAGCCTCGAGAACCTCCCCAAATCCCTTACCCGGAGCCCGGGCCTGAGTGCCCTGGGAAGCTGGCAACACAGCTTCCTCCCATCTCTGGTCCAGGCTGGGCCCCTGTAAATCGCTCTTTTGGCTGCCCTGATGCCCAGCTTCAAAAGCCTCCATTAGCCACTTACATGTCTCCTTACGAGTCCCAGACATGTGGCTTCCCGCCCTACAGGTCAGACCACTGTGATCTGTGTGAGTATTGGAGCGGCTACGTGTGGCCTGGATCTGTCGGCAGGCATCACGGCTGTCCAATCTAGGCCGTGTGCTGCCCCAGGGCTGGGGACGCTGCCCGATTCCCATCCCTCATCCAGGCCTCACTGCCACCCCACGCAAGAATAGCTCAGTAGTCAGGAGACAGAGCCCAGAGGGCCAGGCACCTGGTCTTCAAAGGGGCAGTGAGGCCTGCCAGCCTCAGACAGGGGACGCCCAGGGGGATGCTTCCCTGTCTCTGCACTGCAGTCTCAGGGACCCTGCCCAATGAGGATACTGGGGAGGGCCGGCCTCTGGAAAATTCAGTCCAACCTGGGGGCTCAGGGGATGCCCAGCCCTTATAGCAGCTGACCTTCAGGCCCGGGGCAAATGGCACCAACACGCGAGGATCCTTGGTCAAGGATATCCCTCCCCTCTCTGGCCTCAGTCTCCCTATCTGTCCAGGGCCCTGTTCCCCAGTGCTGCCTCCTCCTTGCTCCCCCTACGCACTAAGGAGATTTTGTTCCTTTCCCCTTAGCAAAACCTCAGACTTCCCCACAAACTCGTGCATGGTGGGGGCGGGTAGGAGGAAAGTTGCTTAGAATTCATCAAGGGGCAAAGAAACGTGTCTGAATTTTTTTTCCTTCTGAATTGGGCACTGTTCGCTTACAAGGCAGTACTCCCCTCACGAAGAGCACTGCATGTAGACATGGGAAAGCAAAAGGCAGGGATATTTAATGAAGGACTCTCAGCCAGGTTAGGTAAGTATCCCTGGGGCCAGAGCTCCACCTAGAACACGTAAAGTCATACAGAACTATGCTCTTCGGGATCCAGATAAAGCACGGCCATCAGCAGGGCGGCGGTGGGAGCAGGGGGTGAGGGTGCAGGCGTGTCTGCATGAGAGTCCACCTCAGGAAGTGGGGAAGTGACTTGATTAGCCTTGACTAGGGGATGGGGGATGTGACGGCGTCTCCTCTCCCCACTCCAGAGGCACACCTCCCTCGCCCCGCAATGCTGCTCCCAGGAAGTCACCTTCCAGCCAGCGGGGCAAACCGATGACGCCTAATTTCATGTGCTGCAGCCCTACTTGTAAAAGCCAAAGGCTGGACACATCCCAGATGCTCGTCCAGGGGACTGCGTAAGTAAATGATGGTGCAGGCGTGCCAGGGAACACTCCCCAAGCTGTGGCACTGCAACAAACCAAGAAGGGTGCAGAACAGTGAGCCTGCAGATGCTTCCATTTGTATAGGAGGAAATACATATGCAAGGAACACTTCTGGAAAGCTGTTAGTGGTGGCTGCCTTCGGGGAACTGGGTGGCTGGGGGACATGATGGGAAGGAGATTTTTAAGTCGGTCCTTTATGCCTTTTAAATTTTGCCTTGTGTGCATAAATTGCACTTTTTTTTTTGTTTGTTTGTTTTTAAAACCTTCCGGCCCCTGTCGAGGAGGAGAGCTGAGGGATCTGAGAGCCAGGACCCAAAGGGCGCTGGAAATACAGGGCAAGGGGACAGTACAGCTAAGACCTGGTGTGTCAGGCTAGACGGGAATACACAATGGTGGAGACCAATCTCCACTTTGTCCAGACCTGGGGGGAGCGGGGAGGACTTGCTGGGGTCCCTCCCGCAGTGCAGGCAAGTCACGGGTCTCCGGGGTCCCAGCTGAGGTGGCACATATAACAGAAATAGCTCTAGCCTTGGGGGTCCCTGCTCTGTCACCAAACTGCTGTGTGACCCTAGGCAATTCACGTGACTTTGTTGGGCCTGCTGGGAAATGAGGATGATATCAGTAGCTGCCATCACTGAAAACGGTGCATCTCCTAGAGTCAGGAAGCCGGTGTGGCCGGCATCTGTTGTGCCCGTGGGCAAGCGCGATAGGCTCTTAGAAGTACCCACCAAATGGGCACGATGCCCGTCTGACTTTTCTCCCCAGTGGCTGTAAAGCTATCGTGGCCCTGCAAGCCCTTTATCATTGATAATAATAACTGGCATTTATGGAGCACATACTTGGTGCCAAGGACCATTCATGTGTCTTAACTCATCAAATCCTGCCAGCAACCCTAGACGGCAGGTGCTACTATGGCCCCCACGTTTCAGAGAGAGCCCAGAGGCTGGGATGGAACTGAAAGAGCTTGTCGACTCTCATTACTGATTTGTCACCATTGCTGGAGAGGGGGCGGTAGTCCCACAGGGAGGGAGGGAGGCTGCTGTTGTAGAGCCAGGGAAGGGGCCGGGTCTTTCTCGCCCACAAAGATGGTGTAGCCCTCAGCATGCTGAACAGGGGGCACGGCCTCTGCTCCAGCCCTACCACTTACCAGGGGGATCTCAGTCGAGTCCTGTCACGAGGCCTGTTTTTCTAACTCACATGATGGGAAAACAATACTCGAGTCTCATGTGACACTCAAGTGATAAAAGGGTAGTAAGCTCTTATTGAAACATATAGACCGTTATGGAAGTGTGAAGTTTTCATGTTGGCCTTGACCTTTCCTCTAGGCAGAGAGGAGCCCCAGGGTGAAAGGGGTCCCTCCTCAGGCCCCAGCTGCCCTGGAGGGTGGGGGCCTCGGTCATGTTCTGTCTGCCCCTGGCTTGAATAAGGGACAGAGGAATTAAGAGCATAAGCCCAGAGAGGGCAGGCCTGCTGCGGCCAAAGGCGGCATGTGGATTCCCACATTGCGAGCTACTAACAGTCACAGGCCTTGAAGTCACCCTAGCCCTTTTCACTTCCGACCACCAGCCAACCCATCAGCAGATCCTCTGCTCTCAACCACCCTGGTCCCACCCTCATCACTGTCCCCAGTGGCCTCTTCACTGGCCTTCCTGCCTCTGACTTTGTGTCCCTCACCTCCGCTCCCACTCCAGTCTGTTCCCTGCTATAGCAGCCAGGGGGACGCTGCTAATACCTAGGTCAGATCCCACTACTGCCCTTCTCAGAATCCTCTTGTGACTCCCCACTTCCTCCAAGTAAAAGTCTAATTCCTTCCCGGGAGGCCCTGCAACTCCTCCTGCTCCATCAACCTCCTTGCTGTTGTAACCCCAGGGCCTTTGCACTTGCTAGGAATGCCACCCCCCCACACACAGATTTCCAGGTCTGCTCAAATGTCATGACCTTCCCTTATCTAACTTGACACTCTTTCCCACCCTCCAGCATTCTCCTCTCTTTCCTCTCTTTATTGTTCTTTCTCCACAGCACATGTTACCATATGCCAGGCTCCCAACATTACAGCATTCATCATATTTGTGTCTTCTTCTCTCACTGTAATGTCGGCTTGCTAAGATCAGTGGTTTTTGTCTGTCTGGTTCTCTGCTGTATTTCCAGCATCCAGAGCAGTGCCTGACACATAGTTAAGTGCACAGTATGTTTCTGTCGAATGAATGAAAGCACATTCTATTCATTCATTAAATGGCAGAAACACTGAATTCTGTACCTCAGAGCCAAACATAGTCCCCTGCATACAGTAGGTGCTCAATATATGTTGATAATGATGGTGACAGAACCAAAAGCCAGACTCTCACAACAGGAGGGCTCCCAGATCCCACCTGTCCTCTGTTCCCAGGCCCTGTGCTTCTCCTGGTATCCCCTTCCTGTCCTCTAGGCCAACCCTCAGGGTCCAGTTCCAGAGTCTCTTCCTCCCTGATCCCCTATGACGATTCTGCCCTCAGGGTGGCGCACTCCCTCCTCAGGGAGCCACAGTCCACAGACAGAAGAGGCTGTTCCAGGGGCGCTCAGTCAGTTAAGCGTCCGACTTCGGCTCAGGTCATGATCTCACAGCTTGTGAGTTCAAACCCCGCATCAGGCTCTGTGCTGACAGCTCAGAGCCTGGAGCTTCTTCAGATTCTGTGTCTTTCTCTCGCTCTCTGCCCCTCCCCCACTCATACTCTGTCTCTGTCTCTCAAAAATAAATAAACATGAAAAAAAATTTTTTTAAAAAGAAGAGGCTGGGGGCGCCTGGGTGGCGCAGTCGGTTAAGCGTCCGACTTCAGCCAGGTCGCGATCTGTAGGTCAAGTGAGTTGAGGCAGCATGGGGCTCTGGGCTGATGGCTCAAAACCTGGAGCTGTTTCTGATTCTGCCGTCTCCCTCTCTGCCCCTCCCCGTTCATGCTCTGTCTCTCTCTGTCCCAAAAAAAAATAAATAAACGTTAAAAAAAAATTTTTTTAAATAAAAAAAAAAAAAAAAAAAAGGAAGAGGCTGTTCCATTATCCCTCTCTTCACTCTCCCTGTATATCAATAATGACACCATTATTGGGTACCTGCTATGTGCCAGCCGTTGCACTGCTTGTCCCAGCCCCGTCCTCCACCACAGCCCGCGGGAAGTGGGCGTGACTCCCTGCCCCCAGCTTCTCTGAAGAGACTGGGAGAGGTGAAATGACCCCTGTCTAAGGTCTCACGGCAGGAAGAACACAGAGTCAGATTCAGACCCGGGGATGAGTCCTTCCCCTGCCCTCACGCCCCCTGCCAGCTGTCCCGGGGCAGAGCAGCACTCCGTGGGTGAGCCCCGGGCCTAATTCTCCCAAGGGAGGCGGCTCAGCTCAAACCTGAAGCTGAGGGGGCAACAGGAAAAACCGCCTCCTCCCTCACCCAGGGTGGGTCTCAGGCCCCACGAGCGAACATTCCTGGCTGTAGCCCTGCTGCTCCCTCCCCGTTAGCCAGACAGGCGGGCTCACAGTACTGACCTGAGACCCGCGCCGGGACTCTTGCCAGCCTCTCCTGGGGCTTCAGCTGCAGCAGGAGGGCTCAGGGTCAGCTGTATCGTGCTGTCCTTCTCCTCCTCCTCCCTGTGATGCATACCCCCTTCCTCACTCCAGTTTCTGCCGCTTGGCTCACACCTTCCCTCCTGCCCTGGGATGCAGCTGTCCTATCGCTCATCACTCCCCAAACCAAAATATGCTTCCCGAAGGGGGAACATTCAACTCCAGCCCACCCCTCAAGAAGCCTTCCTGAATTACTGGCCCCTCACCTATCTCACCC